TGCATCTGAAGATAACCAGACACATACATGCGCCACAGGGAAATTCACTTGGCGAGGCTGTCTGTCCTGCAACCTGGGATTAAGTCACACTCGCAGAAAAAGGTGACTTTCTGCTTGTTGAGTTATTTAGTGATACCAATAAAAAACATGGCCTTGTTGTTCCAGGGGTTATATACCAATATGGGGCATGCTTATTCAACATAATTATCCCAAAGACACGAAGAGCCGCATCGCTCTAAGTAGCCATGCTTTATAATCACTGCAGCGAGACTAATTAGCCCAAGCAGAGGGCTATGCTCGCAGATATACTGCTTCGATACCTTAGCCACCTTGTTTAGTAAATGACCCTTGATACCTCTAAACACAACTACATTGTGAAATATTAAAAAATACCCTATATATATCCCCAGATGGTGGCAAGAGACAGCCAACTCGTGTTATTTCAAACTCTGCCACTGGAACAGCAGCCTGTTAGCCTTACACAGACATCAACATTAATCTGAGCTTACAATAAAAAAAGAAAAAGAAAGTAAGGTAGTAACGTTGAGATGTCAAAGGTTGAATTCTGTAATCTGGCAAACATGCAAGGTTTCCACCTCTTTGTAATAAGGGGTCAAAATCTGGTCCTCATTTTGGACCTTCTGCTGCAGTTCAACATCAAGCCCTCCTTCAAACCACCTTGCAATCAGTTCTTTCTTTCTGACTTCCTTCCTCGCCTACAGATTTCCTTCATAGTCATCTCTGACACTTCCCTTGCACTTTTTTAGCTTTCAGATTTCCTCCGAGGACCAAGCGGCTCAAGCACAAGACCCTTATGCTCTAAATTACACTGCCAGCAGAGCTAAAAAGGTCTGTTTTCCAGGCAATCTGCAGCAGTTGGATATAAGCCTGGCTGAATCCTAGAGAAAACACTAAAACACCACAATAGGTTAGAGCGATACTGTGTAGTGAAATCTATATAATTTATAAGGTCTCCTTACTACCTAAATAATAAATATTGACAACTGGAAACACCTGCATTTTTTGTGTTCTGAGGAGGTATAAACAGGTGATTTAACTTAAATGGTTAATGTGTAACAAACCATTTGATAACTACAACTGTTTGTCCAACAAACTGAAAAAAAAAAACAAGACAGAAACAGACACCTTGAGCTTGCAGGAAATAGCCGTATGAGCTTCGAGGACTTTTTTTTTTTTAACCTACTTTCATGGTCCTCCTGTAAAGCAATATAATGTATAACAAACCATTTGATAACTACAACTGTTTGTCCAACAAACTGAAAAAAAAAAACAAGACAGAAACAGACACCTTGAGCTTGCAGGAAATAGCCGTATGAGCTTCGAGGACTTTTTTTTTTTTAACCTACTTTCATGGTCCTCCTGTAAAGCAAATATAATGTATTACTAATCCGGCAGAAAGAGCCCGAAGTTTTTTCCTCTCCCTCTCTGCAAAAAGCTGCCTTGTTTGTGCCTCTGCCCTGTAACAAACAAGAAGATAAATGAGACATTTATGCCAAAGTAATCATTCTAAATCTGTTGTTTTGACCTCTAAGCCAAATTTTCTGCATTACATGCCAGTGGCTCAGATAAAACAGTGCATTTTTTTTCCTGACAACTGAACCCTGTAACGTATGTGTAGCTCTTGCTCAACAAATTGCTCTATCATTTATCTCTGAACATATGTGTATCAGGAAACAGAGAGTGTAGGAAATTTGGCGCCATGAGGTATCAACACCCCTCCCCTCCTTAGACCCTCTTGGTTTTCTGTATCTGGGAAACTAATGCACATTTGGACACAAATCCAACTACGAGCAAAATTAGAAATCCTCACTAAAATGAAAACAGCAGGACAGCAGATATAAATATCTGGAGGACAATATGCTTTACCTTAATAGGTAATTTTGTATATTTTATTTATTGGAGCGGAGATATTCAGTGTTCCACCAGAGCAGAAATTTTAGGATTGAAATCATGAGCAACCTTGACTTCTCAAAGACAAGATTGTACTGGATGGTGTCCAAGATGAACTCCACTTGACCTTAAAAGCACTACTTACTTTTCAGCTGGAAACCAGAGTTTCCACATAGGCTGCTCAAGACGTGCTTTGCAGCTAGACAGACAATACTGTCCGGACAAATATTTATTTTTCTGGCAGATAAATTGGTCTCATCATATTTACTGCAGCGACACAGATGACAGCAAGCCTGCAGAGAGGCACGCGCTCTCTCTGGGTAACGACACGGCTGTGTGCCCTTCATTCATCTTGCGGCTGATGGTCCTGGGGACTGGGAAATGACCTCGGTCTGCGAAAGAGGGGATTCCCCTTGGGTACATTTCCTCCCTGAGCGCAAGGGCAGGACGGCATGTACCAGCCCAGACAACAGTTAAGCAGCTGCAATGCAAAGAGGCTTGATGAATCAGAAAGTCAGCCCAGCTATGCCTTCACAAGCACAGCAAGCCAGGTGGCAAAGCATGCTGCTGGGGGGGGGAAATACAAACGCCCTCCCTGTGCCTCCCAAGCCCCTGGAGCAAACAAACCCCGCACGAAGGGCCCTGCAGACGACAGTGGCAGCGCAGGAAACTACCCCCTGTACTGGAGGGTTTCTTGTAAGCCTTGCCACTTGTAGGTGCACATGAGAGAAACTCCGCTGCTGCAGAGGCCTCCCTCCGGCACCGCTCTCCTTCGAGTACCAGAAGTCCCACGCCACCACACACGCTCCTCTCCATCCATCCGTGCTGGCCGCCGCTGCGTCCAGCTCCCATCTTAGTACGGCCACTGCCCCAATGGGAAGGGCTTGAGCTTTCATGAGTAATTACTCTCCTGCACATACCAAGCCAAAACAGGCTCTCGCTTATACTCGTGTGGCTTCCATTCCCCTTTTTAATCTCATATAGAAATACAGTATTTTCTACTCAGATAAATATTGTTATTACTCCCCTTCTTTTTTTTTTTTAACTAGCATTTTTACTAGCCCTTTTTTTTTTTTTTTTAAACTTTCCATTTGAAACCCTTTGCACATCTCCAAAGAGATTCCTCAGTTACAGCCTGGGTTAGAGAGAAAATGGGCTTCACTTTGCTGAACTTAGGTTTTTTTTCCCATCTAAGTCTCACCCAACACCCAAACCTTTTCATCTTGCACTGGAAACCTCTAGAAAGGGTTGCCTTTTAGAATAAGCAGCAAATAGCTATTCTTTCAGCCAGCCCTTACCAGCCCACCTCATTAGAAATGGGATTAAGCTATTTTTTAACCAAACACAAACAAACATAAACAGAAGTAACCACTGATACCTCTGCAACCGCAAGTACCTCTCTAGTGCAGGTCTCCAAATAAAGATGGTAAAATCCATTCTAAAAGGAGGATTGAAAGTGTTTCTTTCTAAAGCACCAGTTGCACAGTAGTAATTTTAGACATTTAAGACAGCTCGAACTTGCTGCTGGATTATTTTTAACAGGAGCTTTGTGTGCAAAGGCAGTTTGGAGGCCACCCGGCCACGGAGGGCAAGAGGTCCCTGAAGCAAAGCTCTGTCTGCAGCCAGGAATCCTCTCCGCAGGAGAAGATTTCGAATTAGTTTATAAGAGGGGACAAAAGAGTGAGCTGCTGACTTCTGAGCCTCTAGGAAACTGCCACCACACGCAAACACTACTTTTTCTTTTCAGTTTTCCTGTCTTCAGTCAGATGACGGTGAAGTGCTCTACTGAAAACATAGGTGAGGCAAGGCATCTGGTGTCAGACAGCTGGGAAATGAGCAGAGTTCAAGGTTCAGCTATTATTAAAAAGCACACACATCTTTCTATATTTATTCCGACTTTACAGCTCCAAATAAAACACATGCAGTCCTGATGAGTTTACAACTCTAAATACAACGCAGGAGAAAAACCCTAAGACTCATCTGGGAAAACCAAACTGATATATACAAAAGCACCAGAAGGATTATTATTTTTTCTGCCACCACATATACAGCTACATTTCTAAAAATATGCTACTAGCCCTAGAGTTAGACATAACAAAATAGAAAAAACACTGTCTTACAAACACAGCCACGATTTGAAATCAAGTGGCCCGGTTCCTCACCCCATCATGGACCTCCTCGAAAAGCCGCTCAGGAAGATCCATACACTGCAGCATGCTGTACACTCCAGCAAGCTTCACGTGTGGGTCTGACATGCGGCAGGGAGCTCGGCAGGGCCAGCTGAACTATTTACGCCGCTTCCTGGGCAGATTTCACAGGGCTCGCCATCGCTGCTCCCAGCCTGATACCTCTGGCACAATAACCAGCTCCCTCCCTGCAATAACCAGAAAGCAAGCCCACAGAGACACGTCCCTCATCTCAGGGCACGGCTCCATTTCTCTGAAGAAAGAACAAGCAAGATGTGTAACCTGGGGAATTCATGCACTTAGATGCTTTGACCGGAGGTCCCTCAGAAGGGCAAAACAATGACAGCGAGTAAAGGTAATGCACGCAGTGAAAACACCGTGACTGGACCGACCATGCAGCAGCTCCATCTGAAAAGGTGTCTCCAGCGCTCGCAGAGCCCGCTGCCGATACTTGCACCCTGCCTGCACCCTCGGCACAGTGCTGAGCTGGCGGCTCTCCCTGGGGTCCGCAGACTGAAAGGCCAGAATGGCTGTAAAGTTTGACATGACAAATGAAAAACCCCTAAATGCCAGCTAAGGCATATTCACTGCCACTTTGAAAAAATACTCTTATGAGTAAGAAAACATAGCTGTAACGGAGAGACAGAGGAATGAAAACAACCATCCCCCATACCAGAAGGCAGATGGCCGGCACAATCCAAAGTATCTTTTCTACATGCTTTGCAAGAACCCGTTCAAAAACAAATAGCAACCACTACCACCAAGACATACAGCTGTGGCAGACAATTCAATAACCACCTCCTTTTTTTCCCCCTTTACACCAGAAAAACGTTGAGCCCGAAGAGTTTTCACCAGGGCCCTGCTCCAGCGGCACCAGCAGTACGCCAGGCAGGGGGTACTCACTGCAGGCTCCGCAGGTGAAGCAGCCATCGTGGTAGAGGTTGCCCATGGCCTGGCAAGCCTGGTTTGCTCCATACACCCCCTTGCTGCACTTCACGCAGGTGCCTGGAAGAGAGAGAGGGAGACAGAGATCAGAAGCAGCACCTGATGGGGTGGCTGGGGTCACTGGCTGGGGGACCACACCCGGAATTTGGCATGGTGGCTCGGCAGCTTAGGACCAGGCGTTTCACTTTAGCCACAAGATGTAGGTGACATCAGTGTCACCCACCCTGAGAGATGCTGTTAACAGCGGCCACAACGGTCATCAAACCTCCACGGAAAAAGCCTTTTGCAAAAAAGTAAACTGGACAACAGCAGCCCTGTTTGTCTACAGTGACATCTCCTTCCTTCACCCATTCATTCCCATAAACTTTATATACATTTAAAACCACTTAATGACCCTCCCAAAAGCCTGGGTGGTAGTAAGTGGTGCTCAGGGCTGTTCACAGACCAATAGTTTCCGCTACTTATTGCATAAAATAAGCTTGTTGGTTGCAACTGTTGTGAGGAAAACACACTTAGTGTGTGCTCACTTAGCCCCTTTAAATCTTCATTGATTTCAGACCCTGCTCGCATCTGCTGAAGGCCCTAAGGATTTCCCACCAAAACAGAGCTGAACTGACTACCTGACACCTACCTCTCTTCCCTCTGTCAGCCACACCTGAACAGGGAGACCAAACGTTGGCGCTATCTACAGAACATGTACCCTGCCCAGACGTTCTTCTCACCTCTTGCAGGACAAGGCAAGAAAGAAGTCAGTTTTAAGGAGAGGATACCTGGTGGCGGCAGCACCACCAGCCAAGGGGGGCTGACTCTCATGGGGTGAAGGAGAGCCAGGGCCAGCACACACGGCCAACTTCTGGCTATAAGCTGTCCCAAGTGCAAGTCCAAGTTGCTCCTCGCACCCAGGCTTTCCTGCCACCACCATCACCTAAAGACCAGGGTCAGCTCTGGAGTCCAGAGGGAGAAGACGACTGTGCTCGGCTGTTCAGCCCAATCTCTCACTACAGCCAGCACAGCCAAGCACACTTCCACCTGCACCTGCCCCGGTGTGGGGCTCCAACCCAAAACCCAAGCCAGGCAGAAAGCATAGGGTGAGGATTTCTACCTCATGAGGAAGCTGCTGGGTCCCTCCAGGCACAGACCTGCCTGATCGAGGGTGGAAACAGTGGCAACAGGGCAGATGCACGGTGGTGGTGGTGGGGAGGGACCGCAGGGAGGAGACTTTAGCACTGCAGGTTTGCAAAGGGTGTTGTGTGTTCACCTAGGGCCTCTCAAATCTCACCACATTTCCACATAAAACTATTCTGATAATGGAGTAAGAAGTGACAACTGAATTTCACGCCTTTAATGGCATCTGCGAGCAGGACCTGCTCCCTCCACCTGGCAGGGACAAACGCAGCAAGGCCACCCAAAACCACTATTAGCGGCCGGCGAAAGAAAGTCCTTGTTCAAGGAAAATGACACATCAAGCCAGTTTACTTACTTCAGGCATTTCCCTGTGATTGCGACAGACCGGTTTTAAAGCAGCATCGCCCTTTAACTACCTCTAAATGAGAAACTTTAATCTGTGTTTAAGCAAATAAACATGGATCTACCCAAAAAGGGCAGTGTGAAGGACAAACAGAAGATGTTTCTCTGCTCCTCAGTGACCCTGCAGATGTGACTTTGCCTCCAGGTCTCTCCTTCCACTGCTACTCTGACTCTTAAACTCCCTGGGGCAGGGACTGTTGGTCACGTCTTGCTCCTACTGGCCCAAGAAGAGGGATAGCATCATCTTGCTGGAGATCCTTAGTCATGTCATGGTTAACAAAACTTCACTTCTTTCAGGGCCCCGCAAGCTCCGGAGTAATTGGAAAGGTCTGGTGAAAGTTAGGAAGAAACCCAACGTACTTACGACAGCGCTGAAAAGTAACTCCCAACTCCGGCAGCACCACGCTGGCAGTCCCAGGGTGGTTAACAATTTCTTCATGCAGCCGATAGCTGCAGCCGTCAGTTTTCACACTATAGGGTTAAAAACGCTCAGGAACCCTTTGCAGTAGCGCACACAGGGCTGCTGAAAAGCAGATACTTCATTTTCCCAGAGCAGACCCGGCTCTCTGTGCTGCAGCTGCCTGCGTGTGTTCAACTGCACACTGAAAGCTGTCCTAGCACTGCTCCAAGCCCCACTGCACTCAGAGCCAGAGTCCAAACTGACACAAACCTGGAGAGAAGGCTGCAGAGAATAATTAGTTACTCTGTTTTGTCCAAATCCAACCTGAGCTGAAATGCTAGCTTGGCTGCAGGCCCACCCCAGCACACAGACTGGCACCAAGTTAGCAAAACTTGCTGGTTCTTTTCGAACCAAGCAGATTTATCTCAGTTATTTATTGAAAGAAACATTTTAAGAAAGCAAAAGGTAAATCACGCAGGCATTACAAAAAAAAGAAGAAAAAAAAAAGACAAGACAAAGGTAAGAAAATTTGGCTTTCCAAATGGATGTGTTCTCCCAGGAACACGTACATTCAGCGGCAGCCTGAGATGCTGTGCAATCGTCTGACGCAAGAGTTAACAGCTACCTCGCAAAATTCCATCTCAACTACAGCAATGCCGAGTGGAAAGTTTTGAGAGCAGAAAACCTGCTGATTTTGCTGCTCAAAGCCTTCTTTCCACGACAGTCACCAGGCTTTCCACAGAACCGATGTACTTATTGCACTGCAAGTGCTGCATTTTCCCCTTTTCCATACCAATGAGCAGTTGCTCCAGAAAAAAATCACCAGTGTGCTCTGATTTCCTCCTTTCCAGAAAGCAGCCGGGTGACACTGAATATGGATGAGCAGCGAGAAGAAGCAGGAGGCAGAAGGCACAGCAGCTGCGTGCAGGCACAGTGCACAGTAAAGATGCTGGCAGGCATCTAAAGCCACTATAAAATACCCTAATGCAAATCCCACAGAGGGCAGAAATTGCCTCTGCTGTCTCTTGTCCATCCCATTTAAGCTTCAGAGCGTAGGCACTAGATATGTTTTCCCCAACAGCACAGATAGTCCGGCTGGATCCTGCAGGAGCTGCCCGGGCTCCCGCATCCGTACCCAAACCTTCCTCCACCTCCCGCCCCTCGACTGCCCCTACCATCCTTCCCCCTTTCTTTCAGTACATGCTCCGTTTCATCCCCTGCTTAACCCTTTTATCCACTTCTTTAAATATTTAGGCCCTTAAAACATGGAAAATAAAGTCATAGAATGAAAGGGCTTTTAAAATAAATTGACAGCGTTGTCTGTAAAAACTATAATGTGCTAAATTACCCAACTATGTAATAACCAACCGTGCTATAAGTATTTGAAGATGTCCCGTGGCAAGGCTGACAAATGAAAAATGGCATTATGGCAAATCTGTGTATCATTTATGTTTTTACTTGTACCTGCCAACTCTTACTTGAAAGCCAATTAAATCTCAGTAGCAATTGGAATTATTCTAGAAATAAGTCTTTGCTTCTTCCAAATATAATATTCCGAAGTATTTTAAGCAACATACTTGAGCCTTCATCTCCGACTCGCAGCACACCTGGCCTGAAAGGGGAAAAAAAGGTGATTTTTATTGATTTTTCCTTTCCACTTTTTTTTGGCCGCTCGCTCCCTGCTGCCACAATGATCCTGTTCTTTCGGCTTAGGCTATGCAACAAAAAAGCAATACCTGCTGCTGATGGCGGCCAGCCACCAAGCTCGGCGACACATGTGCAAAGCCAGCCTGATGGAAGGCAGCGCAGCACAGGGCACATCCAAGCCCATCCTGCCGCAAAACGGGCTCTGCGCCCTGCTCCACGCCAGCTCCAACAACTATTTCCCGAAAGAGTGCTGAGTGTGCTTTCTGCTAGCCAGGGCGTAGAGTTAAAATGTCAGCAGCATCAGTCCAGCCCCACATGCTGCTGATGCTAGTCAGCAGCTTAGGGTAATTTTCTTGGCATAACGCAGCATTTAGCACAAACTTCTGTCCTCAGCTCGAAGCAGAGGGATCCCGAGTACCCACGGCTCAGCGAGATACCCGATTCCTGCACTTGGTTACTTCGCGACGCATAACAAATGCTTATGCAAGCGTCGATCTGAGCATATATGCCCTCCAAAATTATGGCTTTTAACCTCAGATGGCGTGATTAAGATGTTATTAAGGAGAAATGAAAGGTTTCTCTTTCACCACCAGGATGACAAGCCCAAAGCACCGCACACGTGCAGCGCCGGTAAATTCATGCTCGAGCGTGCCGGTAGAACGGTAGCCAGATTTGGAAAGGGAAAGGGATGGAAATTGCTGATTTCGGCTCAATTTCTGCCGGCAGGGCAGCCGGGCCCCGGAAAACAAAGAAATCTCTGTTCCCTTTCGCATCATGCGGCAAGCAACCGCCTGCGCTGCAGCTGAGCGCCTGAACAAAGGGACCTTTGGGGCAGAGCTGGGACCAAAAACATGCCCTGTAAGCCACGTCCCCGGTGCTTGCCGTACTCCATCTCGGCACTGCAAACCAGGAGGGCTGTCACTGGGAACAGCCTTGGCTCACGAGATCAAACAGGTCTGATGCAGACCTCAAGGGCTGTCAGAAATGAAAGCAAACCTGGCGCCCAGTCTGAAACGTCATTTCCATCATCAAAGCTCAACAAGTGCATTTCCATTTACCGCCAGACTCAAAGCCTTTAGAGATGTTTTTTCCTCTAAGTGTTGCTATTTCACGCTCACCAGAAGGAGCTCAGTTACTTACTGTATCCCACTTGCTAAAAATTCAATGCAAACCATGCTGAACAACAGCATTTTCTGGGACTGGTCATTATGATTTATTTCCATGTGCCAGACATCATCTATCTACAAACCAAGAACACAGTTGTGGGTTTTTCCAGCAGCATCCCCCTCCTTTTCAGCAGCATCCCTGTTCTCAGCAGCATCCAGAACAGCCAAGCTTTTCTACACGTGCTCCTAGTTGGGTTTGCTAAGGCTGTCGCTTAATTTTAGAGGGCCAAATGTGTTGCTGTGCTGCTTCAGTGGTGAGATTTCCTTGCCATGTCAGTCCGGTCCTGGATAAGAGGAATGCAGTGGCATGATGAGGGGAG